AAAAAAAAAAAAAAGAGATATACTACATTTTCTCTGGCCACAATGGGATGAAGTTAGAAATCAACAACAGAAGGAAAACTGGAAAATTCATAAATCCTAGAGTGATTTTTTTCTAAAGCTGTATGTTACCTTGCTGTAAAAATAACACCCCAAAGCTTTTTCACCAATTTCCCACTTGGCATTTTTTTTTTTTTTTTGAGACAGAGTCTGACTCTCAACCTTGACTAGAATACAGTGGCATTATCAGAGCTCACTGCAAACTTAAAATCCTGGCTCAAGCAATTCTCCCGCTTCAGCCTCCTTAGTAGCTGGGACTATAGGTGCCCACCACCACATCTAGCTAATTTTTTGATTTTTTTTTTTTTTTGAGACAGAGTCACAAGTTGTCGCCCTGGGTAGAGTGCTGTGGTATCACAGCTCACAGCAACCTCCAACTCTTGGGCTTAAGCAATTCTCTGGCCTCAGCCTCCCAAGTAGCTGGGACTACAGGTACCTGCCACAACACTTGGCTATTTTTTTGTTGCAGTGTTATTGCTGTTGGGCAGGCCTGGGCTGAATCTGAACCCACCAGCACCAGCTCTGGTGTATATGGCTGGCACCCTAGCCTCTGAGCTACAGGTGCTGAGCCTTTTTTTTTTTTTGGTAGAGATAGGGTCTCACTCTTGTTTACACTGGTTGCAAAGGAATTTTTTTTTTTTTTGAGACAGAGTTTCTCTACGTAGCCCTCGGTAGAGTGCCGTAGCATCACCTCAAACTCCTGGGCTTTTTTTTTTTTTTTTTTGCGGTTTTTGGCCAGGACTGGGTATGAACCTGCCACCTCGAGCATATGGGGCCAGCGCCTTACTCCTTTGAGCCACAGGCGCTGCCCCTAACTCCTGGGCTTAAATGATTTTCTTGCCTCAGCCTCCCAAGTAGCTGGGACTACAGGTGCCTGCCACAATGTCCAGCTATTTTTTGTTGCAGTTGTCATTGTTGTTTAGCTTGCCTGGGCCAGGGTCCAACCGGCCAGCCTCCATGTATGTGGCTGGCACCATAACCACTGTGCTACAGGCGCCGAGCCCCCTGGCTGGTTTCTTTTCTTTTTTCTTGTAGAGACAGAGTTTCACTTTATCGCCCTCAGTAGAGTGCCCTGGCGTCACACAGCTCACAGCAACCTCCAACTGGGCTTAGGTGATTCTCCTGTCTCAGCCTCCCCAGTAGCTGGGACTAGAGGTGCCTGCCACATCGCCCAGCTATTGTTTGTTGCAGTTTGGCCAGGCTGGGTTTGAACCAGCCAAACTCTGTATATGGGGCTGGTGCCCTACCCACTGAGCCACAGGTGCCGCCCCCCTGGCTGGTTTCTAACTGCAGTGCTCAAGTGATCCTACTGCCTTAGCCTCCCTAATAGGTGGAACTATAGCCGTCCATCATCATGTCACGCCCAACAGGAAAATTTATAGCTGTAAACACATTTTAAAAAAACACCTTAACTCAATAACCTAACTTTACAACTTAAGGAAAAACTAGACTTAAAGTTAGCAGAATGAAGGAAAAAATGAAGATCAGAACAGAAATAAATCAGATTAGGAAAACAATAGAGAAAAAAACGAATGAAATCAAAAGTTGGTTCTTTGAAAAATGATTAACAAAAACTAGCTAGGTGAACTAAGTTAAAAACGGAAAAGATTCAACTAAAATCTGAAGTAAAGAGCCTGGCGCAGTGGCTCAAGCCTATAATCCTAGCTGAAGCAGGTGGACTGCCTAAGCTCAGGAGTTTGAGACCAGCCTGACCTAGAGCAAGACTCCTGTCTCTAAAAATAGCCAGGCATTGTGGTAGGCGCCAGCTACAGGGGAGACTAAGGCAAGAGAATCACTGGAGCCTAAGAATTTGAGGTTGCTGTGAGCTATGATGCCACAGCACTCTACCAAGGGCTGCGACAAAGTGAGACTGTCTCAAAAAAAAAAAAAATACAGTGGAAACAGTACTGATGCTTCTACATAAGTGTAAAAGTGTATTATGGGGTGGCGCCTGTGGCTCAAAGAGTAGGGCGCCAGCCCCATATACCGGGGGTGGTGGGTTCAAGCCTGGCCTCGCCAAAACTGCAAGAAAAAAAAAAGAAAGGGTCTTATAAACCGGAAACGGAGACTTTAGTTCTCTTTCCCGTCTTGCAAGATGGCGGGTGAAAAAGTTGAGAAGCCGGTTTCTAAAGAGAAGAAACCAGTTTCTAAGGAGAAGAAACCTTCTTCTAAGGAGAAGAAACTAGTTTCTAAAGAGAAGAAATCTGTTAATAAAAAGAAGAAGCCTAAAGCCAAGAAGGGGATGCCCCACTGCAGCCGAAATCCTGTTCTGGTCAGAGGAATAGGCAGATATTCCCGATCTGCCATGTATTCCAGAAAGGCAATGTATAAGAGGAAATACACAGCAGCTAAATCCAAGATTGAAAAGAAGAAGGCGGCGAAGGTCCTCGCCACTGTTACAAAACCAGTTGGTGGGGACAAGAATGGTGGTACTCGGGTGGTTAAACTTCGCAAAATGCCTAGATACTATCCCACCGAAGATGTGCCTCGAAAGCTATTGAGCCATGGCAAAAAACCATGTAGTCAGCATGTGAGAAAACTGCGATCCAGCATCACACCTGGGACTGTTCTAATTATCCTCACCGGGCGCCACAGAGGCAAGAGAGTGGTTTTCCTAAAGCAACTGGGCAGTGGCTTGCTACTTGTGACTGGACCTCTGTCCCTCAATCGAGTTCCTTTACGAAGGGCACACCAGAAATTTGTCATCGCCACCACCACAAAAATTGACATCAGCAATGTTAAAATCCCAAAGCATCTTACTGATGCTTATTTCAAGAAGAAGCAGCTCCGGAAGCCCAGACACCAAGAAGGTGAGATCTTCACCACAGAAAAAGAGAAATATGAGATAACAGAACAGCGCAAGGTTGATCAAAAAGCTGTGGACTCGCAAATTTTACCGAAAATCAAAGCTATTCCTCAGCTCCAAGGCTACCTGCGATCCGTGTTTGCTCTGACAAATGGAGCTTACCCTCATAAAATGGTGTTTTAAATTTCTTAAAAAGAACCTAATTAAATGGCTAATGGAAAAAAAAAAAAAAAAGAAAGAAAGAAAAAAAAGTGTATTATGGGGACGGTACCTGTGGCTCAGTGAGTGGCGCTCGGCCCCATATAGGACTCAGGGTGGCGGGTTTAAACCTGGCCCTGGCCAAACCGCAACAGAAAAATAGCCGGGCGTTGTGGTCCCAGCTACTCGGGTGGCTGAGGCAGGAGAATCGCCTAAGCCCAAGAGCTGGAGGTTACTGTGAGCTGTGACACCACAGTACTCTACTGAGGGCGATAAAGTAAGACTCTGTCTCTAAAATAAAAAGTGTATTAAGAATAACTGTATGCCAACACGTGAGTTAACCTAGAAGAAATAGAAATTCATCGAGAGAGCGGCGCCTGGGCTCAGTGAGTAGGGGGCCGGCCCCACATAACAGAGGGTGGCAGGTTCAAACCTGGCCCCCACCAAACTGCAACAAACAATAGCTGGGCATTGTGGTGGGCGCCTGTAGTCCCAGCTACTCGGGAGGCTAAGGCAAGAGAATCGCTTAAGCCCAAGAGTTGGAGGTTGCTGTGAGCTGTGTGACGCCACGGCACTCTACCGAGGGCGACAAAGATTGCCTTTACAAAAAAAAAAGAAAGAAAGAAAGAAATTCATAGACACACAAAACCCCATGTGACTTAATCGCGACAATAAAATCTTAAGAGACTTAGAACTAGTCAGGAGATAAAAGCGGTAATCAAACAACTCCTGATAAAGAGAACTGTTCACCAACGTTCAAAAAAGAATTAACAATACTCTTCAAACGCTTCCGAACTATCAAAGATGGAACAACTCGAAACTCATTCTACAAACTACCTCTACATCAAAGCCAGACTCTACAAAAAAAAATTACAAATATCCAGCAGGCATAATAATGCAAAAATTCTCCGCAAGTTACGAGCAAACCCAACAGCCCGTTTTTTGCTCCTATTTTTTTTTTTTTTTTTGAGACAGAGCCTCAAGCTGTCCCCCTGGGTAGAGTGCCGTGGCATTACAGCTCACAGCAACCTCCAACTCCTGGGCTCAAGCGAGTCTCCTGCCTCTGCCTCCCAAGTAGCTGGGACCACAGGCGCCCGCCACAACGCCCGGCTATTTTTTGGTTGCAGCCGTCATTGTTGTTTTGGCGGGTCCGGGCTGGGGATTCGAACCCGCCACCTTAGGTGTACGTGGCTGGCGCCTTAGCCGGTTGAGCTATAGGCACCGAGCCTTTTGCTCCTATTCTTATCGGCTGACCGCTTTCTTTTTATTTCTTTTACCCTGACGGTACTGGGTTAGGGTCACTTATCATCTCCTGGCATCCACTCCTTCACTAAAGTGCAAACCACAGCTAGCCCAATCTGATCCCCAGTACAACACCCATCCGTCTCAATCAGATCTGGATTCTTCTGTCCTAACGGTTAAAGCCCTGGGGACCTCCAGAACCTTGGCTGTAAGGGAGTAAAAGAGCGGGCACCCAAGCATAAAGCCCGCCATTTGGGGTGGCGGGGATAGTGCCTGGAGGGCATCGAAGGGTAGTACCTTGGCCCCGAAGGCCCAAAAAAGGCCCTCTACAACTGAGTCTATCCAGCCCCCTTTACTTACAGCCTCATGGCCGCTAGCCCAGCAGCCCCATACGACCTGAGCTTCGACGAGGGGAACTTACCCAGAACTTGATGCGCACGTGGCCCTGATGGAGTGGATGCGCAGACGGTTGGCCATGTCCCGCAGCACCTGCACCGTCTTGGAGTCGGGCCTGGCCTCGTCTGCCATTGCAGTACTCGCTTCAGCGTCGGCCATGGCGACGACCGTTTGGCGTCCTCCGAAAAAAATGTGGCTAGGCGTGGGCCTCAATCCTTCACGTGACCTCTTACGCATCTCCCTCCGCGCTCCGCCCCTTGCACTCCGCCCCTTCGCGCTCCGCCCCTTCGCGCTACCTCTTCTGCAGCTGCTTTAGCTGCTGCTGCCTCCGCACCAGATCAAAGGATGTGAATAGTTGTGATTTTCCTGCGCAACATTATTGAAAATAATTCAATTTCTGTTTGTCTTTCCTCAGGCTGTCATTTTCCAGGGGGTTTCCCTCAGCCAGCGAGCCCAGGGTCTCCTTTTGGGGTGGTGAAAAAGTTCCGGAAGTAGGTGTTCGCTAGGGTTGCACACCACTGGGAACCTACTCATGTTACGAATTACACTGTGAAAATCGTTACAATGGTGACGTTTCTGTTTGCTCATTTTATTGCACTATAAAGAGGGTCATGCTGGAATTTCGAATTTGGCCAAGGGCCAACCCTCACAAGCAGTCCAGGCTCCAGGTGGGCTTCATACAAGATGAAGCAGGCTCAGGATCCTGCTACAATGCAACATGTGCACTGTCCTTTCCCTTTCTAGAACATTCTGTATAGCAAGCCCCATGTGACTGTTTTTTTTTCATTTTTTTTTAAATTTCAGATTAATATGGGGGTACAAACCATTATGTTATGTAATTTACACAAGACAGGTAAAAACATGAGACTGTTGAGATGGCATTAGCCTAATGCCAGCCTGTAACGTGATCAGGTCGCCTGACTCGAGTGAGCTCCTGTAACTGACTTTGTGTTCAGCTACGACATCTTGCCATCTCTACACGGTATACCCAAGTTCAACTACTGGGAAGCCCAAGTGCTGTATCTTGGTTCAAAAGTGCCAGATTCCTTCATAAGCCCCCTAGAGTGTCACCTGATTGCCATTAGGTTCCTGTGTTCTTGCCGGGTTAAAGGGTATGTGCAGTTTAAAATTTTAAGAGATATTGCCTAATTGCTTATCAAAAACCTTGAATTTATATACTTGAAGGTTCATTTCCCTGCATCCTCATCAACACTGCATGTTGTTGGACTTTCTAATTTTTGGCATTCTGCTGGATGAAAAATAGTAATCATTGCTTTGACTTACGATTCCTGGGTCACCTTTTGGGGGTGTGTGTGTGTGTTTGACAGTCTCACTATGTGGCCCTGGGTAGAGTGGGTGGCATCACAGTTCACAGCAACCTCCAACTCTTGGGCTCAAGCAATTCTCCTACCTCAGCCTTCCAAGTAGCTGGGACCACAGGTTCCCCCCCTAACATCCAGCTGCCTTTGGTTGCAGTTGTCATTGTTGTTTGGCAGGCCGGGGCTGGGCTCAAACCCACCAGCTCTGGTGTATGTGGCTGGCACTCTAGCCACTAAGCCATAGGCAGTGAGCCTGGTTGTGCTATTTTTTTTTTCAACCTGTCTGAGGGGACTACTGTTCATTCCTGTCCTTTGTGTACTTATATCAGATAGTTTTTAGTTTATTAATTTGTGGGAGTTCTTTACATATTGTGTTGATTAGCCATTTATCTATTACAGATATTCCAAATCTTTTCTCTCATTCTGTTGCTTTTTTAATGGTAAAGGAGACACTTTATTTTTAAGAAAAAACAACCCCCAGATGTTGCTTCTTTTTAACTTTGGATTTTCTTCTCTATGCAAAGTGTTAGAATTTTTTATGTAAATCTTTTATTTATAGACTTTTGGTTGCAGTCTTCCTTAGAAAGCTCTTCTCCATATGAAGATTATAGCCTAATAATATTATAGTTTTGTTTCTTATGTTTAGTTTTTTATTGTCTGTATTATTATGTAAAATGTAAAGTAGCACTCTAACTTAACTTTTTGAAGTAGTTCATTTTCCAAAGACCATATTTAGTATTTTTCTCAAAATTTTTGTAGCTATTATTTTGCATTTTGTCTTCCAAATAAATTTTGGAATCAGCTGATTTAAGATTCATGAGACATTCATTCCCTGTGGGTTTTTAATTGGGATTTTATGGAATGAATATAAGATTAATATAGAGATGATGTCTTTACAATATTGAGCATTCTCAAGAATATAGTATATAGCCATTAAAATCATATCTTATTAGCATGCTATTTTTTTTTTTTTGAGACAGAGCCTCAAGCTATCCCCCTGGGTAGAGTGCCATGGCATCACAGCTCACAGCAACCTCCAACTCCTGGGCTCAAGTGAGTCTCCTGCCTCAGCCTCCCAAGTAGCTGGGACTACAGGCGCCCGCCACAACGCCCAGCCATTTTTGGTTGCAGCCATCATTGTTGTTTGGCGGGCCCGGGCTGGGGATTCGAACCCGCCACCTTAGGTGTATGTGGCTGGCGCCTTAGCCGCTTGAGCCACAGGCGCCAAGCCAGCATCTTATTTTATATTTTCTATTTACCCTGATATCTCATTTCTCTTTGTTCTTCCTTTTGTTGGATTGATCAATTCCACTCCCACTCCCAGCTATTTGGATGTTATGTACCTATCTGGCTTTATACTTCTAATGGTTACCTTTAAGTTTTTTCACCAACATATTTTTTTTCCCAGTTTTAAGTTTTGTACTGTATCTATAAAATTCCCCCCACAATAAGTCATTAGCAAATTGTTCTTTTCCCTGTTTATTACTTGCTTTTTAAACAGTTACTTAGTTTTTACATTTATCAATGTTATATACATGGACATAGTTTAAAGCAGGGGTCTGCAAACTCTTCTGTAAAAGGCCAGATAGTAAATATTTTAGGCCACATGATCTCTGTTGCAACTACTCAACTCTGGTGATGTAACTTGAAAGCAGCCACAGGCAGTACTTAAATGAATGGCCACGGATGTATTCTGGTAAAACTCTGTTAATAGACCTTGAAGTTTAGGGCAGCGCCCATAGCTCAGTGGGTAGGACGCCAGCCACGTACACTGAAGGTGGTGGATGAACCTGGCCTGGCCAGCTAAAGCAACAATGACAATTGCAGCAACAACAACAACAAAAATAGCTGGGCGTTGTGGTGGGTGCCTGTAGTCCCAACTACTTGGGAGGCTGAGGCAAGAGCATCGCTTAAGCCCAAGAGTTTCAGGTTGCTGTGAGCTGTGACACCATGGCTCAAAAAAATAAACACTGAAGTTTGAATCTCATGTAATTTTCACATGTCACAAAATATTATAGTTTTGATTTTTCCCGACCATTTAAAAATGTAAAAATGATTCTTAGCTCATAGGCTATACAAAAAACAGGCAGAGGGCCTTTGGGGAACGCCTTACTGACCTCTGGTTCAAAGAGTTAAGTGGTTTTATAAGGTTTATTACAGAAAAAAAGCAATCCCTGGCCTTTCACCACTCAATTGTCTGCTTCCCAGAATCAATCCTTTTAATTGTTTTAGCGGTTTCTTTTGGTATTTACCTTCAATTCTCTAAATAATTTGTTTATAGTGCTATTTCTTTTCTTTTGTTGTTGTTGCAGTTTGGACAGGGCTGGGTTTGAGCCCGCCACCCTTGGTATATGGGGCCAGTGCCCTACCTACTGAGCCACAGGCACCACCCGCTATTTCTTTGTTTTATTAATATTTTAACAATTACTAAGTGACTTCTCACTATAAAAGATGATGATGGCTGGGTACCGTGGCTCACTCCCGTAATCCCAGCACTTTGGGAGACTGAGGCAGGAGGATTGCTTGAGGCCTGGAGTTCAAAACCAACCTGGGCAACATAGGAATACCCCCGTCTCTACAAAAATAAAAATAAAAAAATTAACTGGGTATGGTGATGTGTGTACCTTTAGTCGTAACTACCTGGAGGGCTGAGGCAGGAGGATGGCTTGAGCCCAGAAGCTTGAGGTTATAGTGAGCTATGATGATGCCACTGCAGTCTAGCTTGGGCAACAGAGTGAGACCTTGTCTCTATTTTTTTTAAAGATGATGATGTAGCTCCTTCATCTGCCTCACCACCAACACATACTTCCTGTTCTCCATCCTTCCAGTCCTGTCTATAATGACTTTGGTTAGATCACTTCGTGGTGATCAAGTCCATGGAAACATTAGTCACAACTGGGCTGGGTGACTACTATGATATCTTTTACTTTCTCTCCTAACTTTTTTTTTTTTTTGAGATGGAGCCTCAAGCTGTCCCCCTGGGTAGAGTGCCGTGGCATTACAGCTCACAGCAACCTCCAACTCCTGGGCTCAAGCGAGTCTCCTGCCTCAGCCTCCCAAGTAGCTGGGACCACAGGCGCCAGCCACAATGTCCAGCTATTTTTTGGTTGCAGCCATCATTGTTGTTTGGTGGGCCCGGGCTGGGGATTCAAACCCGCCACCTTAGGTGTATGTGGCTGGCGCCTTAGCCACTTGAGCCACAGGCGCCGAGCCTCTCCTAACTTTTTGTTTCCCTTGGAGTCACGTCCTTTTGCTCGGTCTCTATTACTGATCCCTAGTTCAAGACTTCCCCCAATTGTCTAAGTCTCCTATGCATATGTTCAAAGATGTCTGGCATTCCAGTAGTTTTGATTCCCCGGAGTTCTCTTGGAGGCTTTTGACTTACTTTCCAGGAATGCTGCCAAGCCATTACCTGGGGCTCTCTTTTGGCTTGGGCCCCCTGTTTCCTGGATCCCATCTTGATCTCTTCCTTAGAATACGCCATAATTTTGGTGGCACACTTTCTCCAGTAGCTTCCAGAGGAAGAATGTAGAGAAAGTAAACTATGTGAGTTCATGTCTGAAAATGTTTTCAGTCTAACCTCATAGTTGACAGTTTGGGTGAAGAATTCTAGATTGGAAAATAATTTTCCCTCAGAATTTTGAAGTCATTACTTCATAGTCCTCTAGTTCCCTGATGCTAGTGGTTGAAAGTCTGAAGATACTGTGACTTCTGATTCTTTGAATATAACCTATTCTTTTCTTTCTGACAGTTATTCTCTCAGTGTATTGAAGATATTATTCAACTGTCTTCTGGACTTCATAGATGCTATTGAATATATGTGCTATTGAAGCAAGCACCACTGGTGTTATTGAAAAGTCAGCTTGCAATCTAAAAGTCATGGTTTTAAAGGTAATCAGCTTTTTTAGCTGCTTTTAAGATCTTGTGTGTAGGTATGGACCTATTTCTGTCTTTACTGATTGATATTTATTGGGATTTTTAAATTTGTGGATTTGTGTCTTTCATCAATTTTGGACTGTTCTTAGGGTGTATCTCTTAAAATATTGCTACTAGGGCTTGGTGCCTGTAGTTCAGCAGCTGGGGCACCAGCCACATACACTGGAGCTGGCTGGGTTCAAACAACAATGACAACTACAGCCAAAAAAAAAAAAAAAAAGCCAGACATTGTGGCGGGCACCTGTAGTCCCAGCTACTTGGGAGGCTGAGGCAAGAGAATGGCTTAAGCCAAAGAGTTTGAGGCTTCTGTGAGTTGTGACTCCATGGCATGCTACCAAGGGTGACATAGTAAGACTGTCTCAAAAAACAAACAAAAAAAAATATATATATACATATTGCTGCTGGCCAGCTGTGGTGGATCACACCTGTAATTCTAGCTCCCTGGAAGGCCGAGGCAGGTGGACTGCCTGAGCTCACAAGTTCAAGACCAACCTGAGCCAGAGCAAGACCTTGTCTCTAAAATAAATAAATAAAATAAAATATTGCTACTGTTTTGTTCTATCTTCTCACTCTGACATGACAATTAGATTTTTGTTAGATCTCATAATATCTTTCATGTCTTCAGTTTTTTTATTTTTCTATTTCTTTGTGCTGTTGTGCTGCATTCTGGATACTTTCCTTAGCTTTGTTGTACAATTTACTGATAGTTTCTCCAGCCATATCTGATCTACTGTCAAATCCATCTGTTGAACATTAAAAAAAATTGAAACTGTGAAATTTAGCATATGTATTAATACTTAAAGCTGCAGAAGGGGTGGTGCCTGTGGCTCAAAGGAGTAGGGCACTGGCCCCATATGCCAGAGGTGGAGGGCTCAAGCCCAGCCCCAGCTAAAAACTGCAAAAAAAAAAAAAAGAAAGCTTCAGAAAAATCAACATATATTTTAAGAAATAATGATAACACAAACATACATTTAACTAGTACTCAAGTCAAGCACCCTAGCCTCCGCATGTCCCCCCAACACAATTCTCTTCTTCCAGATGAGTAGAAACCATCATCCTGAAGTTTATGCTACTAACATCCCTGCTTTTCCGTGTAGCTTTACTCTGTGTAGACATCTCTACATAAATCATTTTGTTTTGCCTGCTTTTGGAATTTATATAAAGGGAATCATACACAGCATGGATTTTCTGTTTGGTTTTTTTCAACATTATGCTTGTGAAATTCATTTGTATTTTTCAAGGTGTAGTTCATTTTCATTGCTGTACAGTGGTATATTCTTGCACATGTTACAGTTTACTTACACATTCTACTCTCAATGGGCAGGTGGGTTGTTTCTAATCGTTGGTTTTTGGGAACATTCGTTTACCTGTATCCTGGTATATTGCTTACAAATGCAATTGCTGGATCATCAGGTATGCATGTCTTCAACTTTACAATACAGGAAGTCCCTGAGTTACAAACAGCTGACTTATAGACTACTTGCATTTACGAATGGGGTTATTACAGGTAATAGGTAAATGTATCTGTTCCAACTTATATACAAATCCAACTTAAGAACAAACCTACACAATCTATCTTGTTCATAACCTAGGCACTGCCCATACTAACAAATGCTTTTCCAAAGTAGTTATACCAATTTACTCTTCCACCAGTAGTGATTGAGAGTTCCTATTGCTCTACATCCTTATGAACATTTATTATTGTTGGTCTAAATTTGGCCAATCTGCTGGGTGTATAATGGTATTACATTGGGCTTTTTAAATTGAGGTATAATTTATTTACAATAAAATATCCAGAGCCAAGCTGCCTCTTACAGTATAATCACTTCTGACTTGCCACTGGGAGAATATTTTTATTTTTATTTTTTTGAGGCAGAGTCTCACTCTGTTGTCCTAGGTAGAGTGCCATGGTGTCATAGTTCACAGCAACCTCAAACTCCTGGGCTCAAGTGATCCTCCTGCCTCACCCTCCCACTAGCTGAGACTACAGGCATTTGCCACAATGACCAGCTAGGTTTTCTATTTTTTAGTAGAGATGGGGTCTCTCTCTTGCTCAGGCTGGTCTTGAACTCCTGAGCTCTGGCGATCCACCTGCCTCGGCCTCCCAGAGTACTAGGATTACAGGCCTGATGGGAGAGCATTTTTAGATCATAAACTGTCATGAAGGTGCTTATCATTTCAAAGTAGAAACAAGGCTGAGTGTGGTGGCTCTTAAATCCCAGCACTTTGGGGGGCTGAGGCAGGAGAATCACTTGAGGCAAGGAGTTCAAGACCAGCCTGAGCAACATAGCAAGATCCCCATCCCTACAAAAAGTTTTTTTAGAAATTAGCTGGGCATGGTGGTGCACACCTGTAATCCCAGCTGCTCAGGAGGCTGAGGCAAGAGGATTGCTTGAGCCTGGGAGTTTCAGGTTGCTGTGAGCTATCGTCATACCACTGCACTCCAGCCTAGGCAACAGAGTGAGACCCAGTCTCAACAAAAAGAAAAAAAGAAAGAACGAAAAAAAGGAAAAGAAATAGAACAGAGATGACCTGAGCTGACCCCATCTTCCTCTACTAGCTCCTTGTCCCCTATTCTGCACTGGTCCACTGGGCTCCAGAATGTTGTTACTTTCACCTTTATTTTTGAGGTGAGAAAACTGGGCTTCTGAATGTTTTTTAAACTTGCTCAAGGTCTCAGAGTGGTAGATACAGGATCTGAACTGGGCTCTATCTCAAAGGCAATGTTATTCCTCACCATGTGAGAGTCTCATTATTTTATGTTATGACAGAATTTTCCATCCTGGGCTGTCAGCTCTATGAGAGCAAGGAATGTATCTGGCCTCTGTACCACATAGTAGGCACTCAAGAAATATGTACTGGGCGCCTCCTATGGCTCAGTGAGTAGGGCGCCAGCCTCATATTCCAAGGGTGGCGGGTTCAAATCCGGCCCCAGCCAAACTACAAAATAGCTAGGTATGTGGTGGGTGCCTGTGGTCCCAGCTACTTGGAAGGCTGAGGCAAGAGAATCACCTAAGCCCAAGAGCTGGAGGTTGGGGCAGCACCTGTGGCTCAGTGAGTAGGATGCCGGCCCCATTTACTGAGGGTGGTGGCTTCAAACCCAGCCCCAGTCAAACTGCAACAAAAAAATAGCCAGGCGTTGTGGAGGGCACCTGTAGTCCCAGCTACTTGGGAGGCTGAGGCAAGAGAATTGCCTAAGCCCATGAGCTGGAGGTTGCTGTGATCTGTGAAGCAACAGCACTCTACTGAGGGTGATAAAGTGAGACTCTGTCTCTAGAAAAAAAAAAAAGAGCTGAAGGTTGCTGTGAGCTGTGATGCCACAGCTCTCTACCGAGGGCAACAAAATGAAACTCTGTCTTTAAAAAAAAATGTGTTGAGGGCGGCGCCTGTGGCTCAAGGAGTAGGGCGTCAGCCCCATGTACCAGAGGTGGCAGGTTCAAACCTGGCCCTGGCCAAAAAACTGCAAAAAAAGAAAGAAAGAAAGAAATATGTGTTGAATAAATGACTGGATGAATGAATGAATCTGTTAGGAAGCAAATCTCTCTGCCTATTGTCCTGTCTCCTTGGGAGTAGCGATATGGCAAGCCATGTAGGTTAATGGAATGAGTTTATTCTATACTTTACAAGAACAGTTCTTTTTTTTTATTTCTTATAGCATAACTGTGTACACTAATGCAATCATGGGGTACAGTGTGCTGTTTTCATGTACATTTTGAAATACGCTCATCAAACTGGTCAAGATAACCTTCATGTCATTTTCTTAGTTATTGAGTTAAAACGTTCATATTCTGCTTTTAGAAAGATTCACTTGTACCCTTGTAAGATAAACCATAGAAGTGAAAAAATATGGAACACTTCACGAATTTGCGTGTCATCCTTGCGCAGGGGCCATGCTAATCTTCTCTGTATCGTTCCAATTTTAGTATATGTGCTGCCGAAGCAAGCACACAAGAACAGTTCTTTATAAATGAGTAAGTCATTCTTGGAAGAGAAAATAGGGGTAGAGGTCCAAGAACAGGCAGACCATATGTGGAGGGGAGATTCGAGCCATCTGGAGGTCATATGTAGTAAGGTACCCCCACAAAGCAAGGAATCATATGCTGAAAAGGAAGCAATAAGAGCCCAGAAGATGAACTTGACCCCTACTATGTATTGGGCTCCTCTTTAAAGCATAAATGTTGTAGCCACAGGCTCGATGCCTGTAGCACAGTGGTTACAGCGTCAGCCACATAAACCAAGGCTGGCGAGTTCGAAACCAGCCTGGGCCAGCTAAACAACAATGACAACTGCAACAAAAAATAAGTGGGCATTGTGGCAGGCACCTGTAGTCCCAGCTATTTGGGAGTCTGAAGCAAGAGAATCACTTAAGCCCAGGAGTTTGAGGTCTTTGTGAGCTGTGACAGCACTCTACCAAGAGCAAGCTAGTGAGACTCTGTCTCAAAAAAGAAAATGCTGCATCCATAAGTATTCATGCATATGTTTAAGTATTTTTATGGAGTAAGGTCACAAAATGTCCAATTCTCCTAATATTTGCAGGTCACCAAGTAACTATTTTATGATTTTTTTGGTTTCTCAATGCAGGCAGAATATACCAAGGGACCAAGTGCAACCCTTCCGTCCAATGTGCCTTCATGCAGGTCCCTATCCAGTGAAGATGGCCCCAGTGGCCACTCTAGCCTCTCAGGTGGGGAGCTTGCCCGAAACTTACAGGAGAGCATAAAACACCGCATTCTGTACCTCTCAGAGCAACTGAGAGTGGAGAGGGCCAGTAGGGATGAGAACACCGTGGGCTACCTCAAGCTGGTGTCCAAAGCAGATCGGCACCAGGCCGTGCATATCCGGCAGGCCTTTGAGAAGGTCAACCAGCGTGCCTCTGCTACCATCGCCCAGATAGAGCGAAGGCTCCGCCAGTGTCACCAGCAGCTCCAGGAGCTGGAGGAAGGATGCAGGCCCAAGGGCTCAGTGCAGCCAGCAGAAAGTAGCCTGGACACCCATGAGCAGCCTGGTGAGAAGGCCCAGTTCACAGAATCCCTGAAGCAGAATGGAGAGGACTGCCTGCCTGCTAGCCTGCCTGACATCATCAAACACTTCACTCTGCAGATGCGCGTCCCAGGCGTGCAGCAGGGAAGGCTGTCAGAGAAATATTTGGCCCGGCAACGAAACCTGCTGTTGCAGAAGATAAAAGAAGAGCTGAAAGAGGTCAAACAGTTCCACGTTGGCCTCCGGGCATCCTACAAGAGCCTAAAGGAGAGGTACCTGACAGACCTGCAGGTGTCGCTGGAATCCCTTCAGGAGGACAAATGCCGGTGAGGCTGCCCCTTCTCCTGCCTTGTTTCTGGGGGTAGAAACAGGTGGGGAACAGCGCCCAGGACCCATCTGTGAGAGGGTGAAAGGGAGCTGAGACAAGGGCTTAGAGCAGTGATTTTCAACCAGTGTGCTGTAAGACGGTCTTAGATGTGCTGCGAAAAATTTTAAAGGTCATTAATTAAATTATTTTCGAAAGATGTTCAAAGCACAGTAAGTATATTCTTTTTAAAAATTTTTTTGCAGTTTTGGCCGGGGCCGGGTTTGAACCTGCCACCTCTGGCATATGGGGCCGGCGCCCCACTCCTAGAGCCATAGGCGCCACCCTCTTTTTTTTGGAGACAGAGTCTCACTGTGTCGCCCTTGGTGGAGTACCACGGTATCACGGCAACCTGAAACTCTTGGGTCTAAACCAGCGGTTCTCAACCTATGGATCACGACCCCTTTTTGTAACAATGAAAATACATTGCAGCATTAGGAAGGTTGAGAACCACTGGTCTAAGTGATTCTCTTGCCTCAGCCTGCCAAGTAGCTGGGACTACAGGCACCCACCACAGTGCCCAGCCATTTTTTGTTGTTGTTGTTGCAGTTGTCATTGTTGTTTAGCTGGCCAGAGCTGGTTTTGAACCGGCCTGCCTGGGTGTATGTGGCCGGCGTCCTACCCACTGAGCTACAGGCACCCCCACAGTAAGTATATTCTGTTTTTACTCTTTATTATTATTATTTTTTGAGATAGAGTCTTTTTGTCATCCTTGATAGAGTCCTATGGAATTGTAGCTCATAGCAACCTCAAACTCTTGGGCTCAAAGCTGTTCTCTTGCCTCAGCCTCCCTGTAGGCTCCCACCCCAACTCCCATCTATTTTTAGAGATGAGGTCACGCTCTGGCTCAAGCTGGTCTTCAATTCCTGAGCTCAAGGGATCCACCTGCCTTAGCCTCCCAGAGTGCTGGGATTACATGCATGAACCACCTCGCCTGGCCTCTACTCTTGGTTTTTTGTTTTTTTTTTTGAGACAGAGTCTCATTATGTCGCCCTTGGTAAACTGCTGTGACATCACAGCTTACAGTAACCTCAAACTCTTGGCCTTAAGTGATTATCTTGCTTCAGCCTCCCAAGTAGCTGGGACTACAGGCGCCTGCCCACAATGCCCAGCTATTTTTTTTGAGACAGAGCCTGAAGCTGTTGCCCTGGGTAGAATGCTGTGGCATCACAGCAACCTCCAGCTTCTGGGCTCAAGCGATTCTCCTGCCTCTGCCTCCCAAGTAGCTGGGACTACAGGCACCAGCCGCAACGCCTGGCTATTTTTTGTTGAAGCCATCATTGTTGTTTGGTCACAGCAACCTCCAGCTTCTGGGCTCAAGCGATTCTCCTGCCTCTGCCTCCCAAGTAGCTGGGACTACAGGCACCAGCCGCAACGCCTGGGTATTTTTTGTTGAAGCCATCATTGTTGTTTGGAGGGCCTAGGCTGGATTTGAACCATCCAGCTTAGGTGTATGTGGCTAGAGTCTTAGCCACTTGAGCCACAGGTGCCGAGCCCTGGCAATATTTTTGTTGCAGTTGTTTAACTGGCCCAGGCTGGGTTCGAACCTGCCATCCTCAGTGTATGTGGCTGGTGCCATAACCACTGTGCTACGGGTGCCAAGCCTCTACTCTTGTTTTGTGATCAACAATTTGTGTCACAGAAGTTTAACTATAGGTTCAAGTGTGCCATGAGATAAAAAGGTTGAGAAACACTGTCTTAGAGAGTCAGGGTGTGGGGAGAGGGAAGAGCAGGGCCATGGTTCTCCTAGCCACCAGGTCCTGCAGTGACGCAGGCTAGTCCTTTTCTTCTTTTTTTCTTTTGAGACAGAGCCTCAAGCTGTCTCCCTGGGTAGAGTACCATGACATCACAGCTCACAGCAATGTCCAACTCCTGAGCTCAAGCGATTCTCTTGCCTCAGCCTCCCAAGTAGTTGGGACTACAGGTGCCTGCACAACGCCTGGCTATTTTTTGGTTGCAGCCATCATTGTTGTTTGGTGGGCCTGGGCTGGATTTGAATCCACCAGCTCAGATGTATGTGGCTGGCACCTTAGCCACTTGAGCCACAGGCACTGAGCCTCTAGTCCTCTTCTTATGGTCCCACACCTGCCTTGTTCCTTGCTGGCAAATAGGCTGTAGCTCTGCAGTCCCTGTCAGACAGTTGCGATGGCGACTGCACAGCTGCATGGAGCCACCAGCCTTGGCTCTGTGGTGGCGGGAGACAGCCCAGTGGAGGTGACAGTCCCTCAGACACCTCTAGTCCTGGTTGGCTGGGGAGGTTTGAGTGTGGACTGGAGTCATCTTGCCAGCCCTAATCTCTTCAGTTTTGCTCATAACCAAATTAAGGTACAAAGCTAAGTGTTAGATATTTGTTTTGAAAATGATTGCCTTCTGGTAAACACTTTCTCCCCACAGTGCAGTGGCTCAATTTTATTTTCCTCTAAGACAATACTAGGGCTCACGAAGAAAAAAAAAACCAAACCCTGTCTCTCAAAGGATCTTTGCCAATCCCAACAGGACCCTTCTCTAGGTTCCCACTGGCCTTCAGGGGCACCACACTCTCCCCTATCACTGCAGTCATTGGCTAACTAATGCTACTTCTTTCAACTGCCTGGTGAGGGAGAGAGTCTCAAGCATTTTCTTTCTTTCTTTCTTTTTATTTTAGAGACAGAGTTTCACTTTATTGCCCTCAGTTGAGTGCTGTGACATCACAGCTCACAGCATCCTCCAACTCCTGGGCTTAGGTGATTCTCTGGCCTCAGCCTCCTGAGTAGCTGAGACTACAGGTGCCCACCAGAATGCCCAGCTATTTTTTTGTTGCAGTTTGGCTGGGGCTGGATTCGAACCCGGCACCCTCCATATATGGGGCCGGCGCCCTACCCACTGAGCACGCCACCCCAGAGTCAGAACATTTTCATGAAAATAAGAACTGTTCAGTCCTTTTAGGGCCTACATGGAGGTGGGGAGAGGCATGAGTGGGAGTCCTCCTCTTCAGTTTTCTCATGAAAATCTCACTAGTGTTTATTTATACAGCCTGAGATTTCACAAAGAACAGTTAGAGAATATTCCTTACATTATCAAGTAAGATAACCAGTCAGAATTACAAGTTTCTATTGGAGTTTTTTTCATAGGACATGGTAACCAAATCTAAAATTTTGGGACATTTACAGGTTAGATTTATAGTGAGCAAGAACAGAGCTTGGTGGTAGTGACACACATTCCTGCATGAACAGGCACAGCAGTTGGATACGCTCTTAACTCTTACCAAATCAGAGTCTTTCAGCTGGCCTCTTAACATGGGGTGACTACCGGGGAGCATGGCAGCACCTCTCTCTCTCTCTCTCTCTCTGACTCTTGGTGTGAGTTCTATAACTTGCACTTCTGACCCAGTACACATCCCGCAACAACTATGCCTTGAGTATGAAACAAACTTTTCTTGTGTTTAGTCCCTGAGATTTCTGGTAGTTTGCTCCACAGTTAGCCTGCCCTGACTAGTATATATCTTAAGTGAAAAAGCAGTTCTGTAGGGCTTGAATTTCCTAGAAGGGATGGAGAAAGGCCTGAAGATGATTTTCATAGTTACTCTGTGCTCATAACTACGTGAGGGCACAAGGTCAAATGGCATTGTTCTCCTTTGGCCTTATAGATGAGGGAATGGAGTCTCTGAGAGGCACATGCAGGCTGCCCAGCTGGTAAGTACAGACCTGACAGCATTTCACAGCACCCTGGCTATGTGGCTTCTCTGCAAGGTGCTGGGGCACAAAATTTTATTGCACTTTAAAAACATATTCTTTCTTAAAATCTTTTTCAAACCTTTATTTAGTCTATACACAGACATAGAAAAGTACACGTGACAGATGTATTCAGCTACCTGGGAGGCTGAGGCAAGAGAATCACCTAAGCCCAGGAGTTGGAGGTTGCTGTGAGCTGTGTGAAACCACAGCACTCTACCAAGGGCAATAAAGTGAGACTCTGTCTCTACAAAAAAAAAAATTAAATAAATAAAATAGCTGGGTGTTGTTGCGGTCACCTATAGTCCCAGCTGCTTTGGAGGATGAGGCAAGAGAATTGCTTAAGCCCAAGAGTTTGAGGTTGCTGTAAGCAGTGATGTCACAGCACTCTACGGAGGGTGATATTGTAACATTGTCTCAAAAAGAAAGGGTGGCACCTGTGGCTCAAGGAGTAGGGTGCCGGCCCTATATACTGGGGGTGGCAAGTTCAAGCCCAGCCCCAGCCAAAACTGCAAGAAAAGAAAAAAAGAAAAATAAATAAATTTTCTGTAAAGACGGGGTCTTTCTGTGTTGCTCAGGCTAGTCTCAAACTCCTGGCCTTAAACGATACTCTACTTCAGCCTCCCAAAGGGCTGGGATTATAGGCATGAGCCTATATACCCAGCCAAGAAAAAGATAGATTCACCCTCATAAATTCATAAATGGTTGAAGAGCTGAGGGGTTTAATCAAAATTTTGACCTGACCTCGCCTTCCTTCCTCTTCTTTCCTTCAGGTAGCACCTCTCGGGTTTTTTTTTTTTTTTTTTTGAGAAGAAGCCTCAAGCT